CCAGCCCCCAGGAGATGCTGAGGGAGCTTCCCCTGCCCCAATATAAAGCGGCCTGCGGGCGCGGGGGCTGCGCCTCCAGGACAGCTGCGTGAAGGGCACTTTGCCCCCCGTCCCGTCTGGCCGTAAGCACCATTCAAAGGCAGCCGCAGGAAAGGCTGCTCTGTTTTTTTTTTTTTTTCCTTGCTTTAGCCTCACACTTCAGCCCGGTCCCCACCAGGGCTCTGCAGCCCGAGCCTGGGGCTAAAATTCCCTTCTCAGCCCTCGGCAAGATCCACTAACAGGACGAGATGCAAAACCTGGCGCACGTTTATTTGCAAACATACACATGGCCCGAAAGCTCCTAGGGGAAAGCAGGACTCTCCCTCCTCCAATCCCTGCTTCCTCCCTTTCCAGGCACCAGCAGCGAGGAGCAGCAGCCTCAGCCTTTCGGTGTGTGCAGGAGTGTGATAACGTGCTCCCCCACTTCCAGGAGCCAAAGTCCACTCTGGCAGCGCTCAAGTGCCCTGCTCGCCAGCTCCTGCTAGCTGGGATGGGCAAAGAGGGGAGCGGGGGCCGCCTCGCACCTTCCGCCAAAAAAAAAAAAAAAAAAAAAGGGAGGGGGAAAGTTTAAATGCAAGGGGCTCCTGGCACGCTGTGGGAGCCCCCCCGGGTCTCGCTGGCTGCGAGGTGGGGACGTGAATTTCTGGTTTGCACCGGGAGCCCCCTCCGCCCCCATCCCCACCGCACACACACCAGCCACCTCCTCCGCTTTCCAAGTGCTTTGAAACCCCCATTAAGGGCCGAGTGTGTGATCAGACTATGGATTAGGGCAAAAGGGACTTTACCGTCGGGGTGGGGCCAGCTGACACACAAATAGGTCTCTGGAAACCCCAGCACTATTATTATTATTACTATTACTATTTTCTGGACAGGAGGGGGGAGCTGCGAAAACGCAAACCGACTGGAAGAAAAAAATAAAATAAATGAAAATTAAAAAAAAAAAGAGAGAGAGGCTTCCCTCCTTCCCCTTCAAAGCTGCAGCGTGGAAGAACTTTCCCCGTCTTATGGATCCCATTAACTTCACCGCACAAGAAACGCACGCACGTATGTGTGTGTGTATATATATATATATATATTTATACCAGACGTGAACTCACTTCCGAATCGCACGGATCTCCCGACGCCACCGCGGCCGGGCGTAAATCACCCCCTTAGGCGCCGCTCGCTCGCTCGCCCTCCCCCAGGCCGGGCGCCGGGGCAGCCTCCCCGGGGCTCGTATCTCCCCCCCCGGGGCTCGCAGCCGCCCGGGGCCTGCCCGCGCCACCCGAC